TCTTCAGGAAGAAAAATCAATTACTATCATAAATTAAATCAAGCATCATACACCTTCAGGGTGTTTAAAGAAATTGGTCGTGTGAAGATGCTATTATAATTTTGATTCGTCAAATGTACTTCGGGACATTTATCTTCAGAATTTTTATTTTCTTGTCCTTATCATTATTATTCCACTTTAAGTGGTAACTTTTTCTCTTGTCATGGTAAAATATATATTTACCAAAATCATAGTCATGACAACAATCATAACTAATAAATTGAAATTTAGTCGTATTCACTTCTGGGAATGGACTAGAATTAGCATGCAATAAGTACAAAATACTTCTCAAAATTTCTCTTAATATTGCTACTACAGGAGCATATTCGAGAAATTAATTGTGGAGAATATCATTTTTAATATATCTTATGAGTAAAATTTTCTCGACACAATTTCAACTGAGAAGTAATTCTGAAAATTGCATAATTATGTTCTTGTAGCCATAGGTAAATTTATCATACCAAACTTTTGAAATAATGACCATCTTCTAGTGGTCAAATATTTTCGTTAAAGAATAACCATCTTCAGGTGATCGAATCTTTTTCTTTAAATATAAATGACAAGTAGATCCTCAAATATAATTGATTTTCTATAATAGCATCTCCAAAATTCAATGCATCAGAATATAAGTATTTATAACAAATAATTCTAAAGATAAATAAGTAGAATTAAAAAGAGAAATATTACCTCAAAGATGTCAAACAGTATATATTTGTATTTAATGGTTGCTCAGCAATAGGCACTTGTATTTTTCGATCATTCAAATGTTAGCCATAAGAAATTGAAAGTCAGAGATTTGCCTCAGAAGTTACTTGAAGAAATACGGGCAGAATTTTGGCAAAATCTTGTGTTTCACTTTTGTTCACGGTAGAGGCTCCGTTTTCACCTTTTGCTCAAAAGTAAAAACTCGTGCTGATAACGTGTTGTAAAATTAATAAACTACTATAGTATAAATGGAGATATTAGAGAAAGATATAGAGAAATGGAGAGTGATATTCTTATGATTCCAACTAATACAAAAGGTCATCCCAAAGGGTGTCAATGTACCTCTATATATAGGTATTACAAGATTAAAAGTACATCAATTCTATTAAATACCCACTACTATAAGAATATGAAGAAACCTATGAAACGGTTTCTCCACTACATGAATAGATTTATGGATTGTAACTTCTATACATAATATAGTCATAAATCATGAATTAACCCTCTTGAGAATACAAAGGGACATCCACATTTTAGTTGTTTCATAACAGTTCTGTGAAAATGAACGTTATTGGCCGACAATTAATTGGTACGAGATGAAATGAAAATTTTTTTAGGCAATTAAAGTGATAATTATCCCTCATAAAATACAAAATTACTTTGATAAACCCTTCTCTCCTCCTTCTCTTTAGAAAAAACTCTCTAATTAAAACTCCTTTCAACCCTCTCATGGGAGAGAGATCAGATTTTGCTAATCTTTCCCTATGGGAGAAGTTCTGTCTATAGTTTATCTTTATATTTGTGCAAATAAAAACTCTTCCAAGATTTTCTAGTGAGAGTTTATTCTCTCCGTAGGGTTATCTAGTGAGAGTTTTTTTCTCTTCTAAATTTTTTAATGAGAGTTTTATTCTCTCCTAGGGATTCCTAGTGAGAGTTATCATATCCGAAATTCTCTTGGATATATTCGACAAATCTCATCATAATATCTGGACTTGAAATAGTTAATTGTCAAATCTGACGATTGAAAACATGCATAGATGTCAGTGGAGTTACAATTATTTTATCTCATTTTTTGAATTTGGAGTTTTATAATATAATTTTTATTATTTTTCAGGTATGAAGTATAATTTTTTCAAATCTATTCTTTGATATCTATATATGTTTGATGATGTAATTTCTGTCATTAGTACAGATTTTAATGAAATTATGATATTTTATTAAAAAACATATCTTTTAAAATTGGCCATTTAGTGTTACAATTGTATATGGGATATTTGTATTGTACTCTTTTGTTCCCAGTTCCTAAAAGAATAGCGTCTTACTAATGGATTCTAACTTCTAAGGAGATATATAATCATACGTTTGACAAACGTGACCAATTAATTCAAACTAATTTACTCATTAAGCGGATAAACATGCATGAAAGGTTACTTTTTCACAAGGCAAATTTGAAAGCAACTAAAATCATTTGTTAACTTTGAAAAAAAATGACTCTTATTTATTTTGAAAAAATAAAAAAATAAAAAAAAGACATTTACAATGACACCGGCAAAGTAAATGTACTTAGCACATCTAGGATGACAAGCCTAAAGATTTAGCTCCCTTGAGAAGCTTCATTATTGATAGGGTGCAATTTAATCATTTATTTTATTATGGGTAAAAAACAAAAAATCCCCCTGTGATAAACCTAATACACAGAAAAGTCCTCCATGATTTCAAAATATACAACACGACCCCTCATGCTTTGAACTAAATTGTAAAGGTGACGGAATCCGTTAAAATTAACGGAAATGGACAAAATGACCAAAATACCCTGATATAATTAAGCAAAAGACAGCTCAAAAAAATCATTTGTTTTATTCTCTAAATAGAGAGAATTGAGGGTTAAGGGGTAGAATAGGTATATTTGATAAAAATTAAGTATAAAATTTTTTTTTAGGTTCCAATAAGTCATTTCCGTTAAATTTAACGGATTCCGTCACCTTTACAATATAGTTCAAAGCATGAGGTATCGTGTTGTATATTTTGAAACCATAGGGGGTTTTTCTGTGTATTAGACTTACCACAGGGGGCTTTTTTATTTTTTACCCTTTTATTATTAATTTGCCCTATTATCTGATCTGATGTGGATTAATTATTAATTTCTACTCATTTTTGGTATTTTGCATTTATTTCAGGGAGTAGAACGAAAATATGATAATAAATGCCAATTTGACAAGAAATGAGCCCAAGCAACAGAGATGATCTCGGGGGCATTTTTGGAAAAGGAAAGCTTATGCCCATTTTTGGTAATTGCTGCAAAGGCGAGGACGGCTGAGGTCTTCTATTCTCGCTGGGGAGCCGCCGCACAGGAAGAGGGTAGTAGGACTTAGACAGAAATTAGGGGCAGAGAATGAGCACTATCTTTTGGAGAGCTTTTGCTCTTTGACTTTCCTTTTGTGAGCTTTTGCTTAGCTTTAATTATTGTAGGCCAGAGGCTATGAGAAAAACATTGAATCATTCTCTTTAGTTCCTCTGTTTGACTTTTCGCTAGTGACAATCAGAAACAAATGAACTTTTCATTGTAGCTTACTTTTCCTTCTTCATTCAATCGGATTGAATTGCCGCGAGCGAGCACAATGGTCGCCACTGTTGATTCAATTTCGCGTGGGTTTTTAGCATCCGGGATGAACTAAATCTCCTTTGTCTAGTCAAGGAGCAACGGATGCTTTGATTCGCTTAAAAATTTTGAGATCGATTTAATTTTATCTTTTTCTTTTATTTATTGGTATTCGCATATTCCTTGATTGCAGTACTTATGATTATTTAATTAATTGATTATCTTGGATCCAGATAATTAGTTAACTTGATAATCTATTGTCAATTAGGGTATTAAATCTGTAATTGTTTAATTGCCTTGAATTAGTGACAACTGGCATGATTAGATTTGTGTCAGGGGGATACGTGAGTTAACCTGAAATAATCCTGGTAGTGCGTTATTTGATTAGAATAGAGATCCTCTAATATGTAAGGCAATTGAGAAATTAAATCTTATGGGCGTACCAAGGATTATTTCTCAATTAGAGCAGTGATTAACGGACGTACCTTAATCACCGACACAGTAAGGAGGGGTTGATTGTCATCGCTTGTTTGGCAGTTATAACCTATTTATTAATAAATAATTAGAATTGCTTGTGCATCAATGATCAATTAGGTGAACCATTGCTAAAATTATTTCTTGGCTAGACCTTTAATTATTATTAATCTAATTTCAACGAATTGTCATTTAATTTCTAGTTAGCTATTTATTTTTATTTGAATTCTTTGATTGTCATCATATACACAAAAATACCCCCCGTGTTATTTTGAATTTCGAAAGAGATAGATATTCCTAGTCCCTAAGGATACGACTCTACTTGCCCTGTTTACAAATTAATAATTATTTGCGAAAAGCCATCTCATTCAGGTATATTGGATCAAGCAAACTCTTCGGGAATAGGGTGAATCAAGTAACCTATTGCATACCTAGAGTCCCTGCTCCAGTACTTGGAATCGGGTTGTGGTTACTTTATTTGGCAATTAGGTTTAATTTTATTATTACACAGGTTTCGACAACCTGTCAATTTTTGGCGCCGTTGCCGGGGACTGGCGTTATTATTTGTTTCTTTTTAAGTTCATTTTTGCTCTAATTTTCTGGTATTCTTCTAGTGTATGCCTTGTTCTTCTCGTATAAGTGAATTAATTTTTGACCCTGAGGTAGAGAAGACCGCGCTGAGAACACGAAAAGAGATCATACAGCTCCGAGAGGAGCACTCCAGTGCTGCATCTCAGAGACCCGAGTCAGAAGTTGACCCAACAGATTCGTTTGGTGACACTTCGAGTGACTCTGATCAAGAGGAAGTCGCTATGGCTAATGTACGAACATTAAGAGAGTTGGCTGCTCCCGATTTAACTCAGCAGCCTTTATGCATTACTTTCCCAAATTTAAATTATACCAAGCCATTTGAGTTAAAATTTGGACTAATTCATTTTTTGCCATCTTTTCATGGGTTACCAGGTGAGGAGCCCTATAAATATTTGCAGGAGTTTGATGTCGTATGCAACAGTATGAAACCCCGGGCATTACAGAAGAGCAAATAAAAATGATAGCATTCCCCTTTTCCTTGAAGGACTCTGCAAAGGACTGGCTGTACTACCTACCACCAGGTAGTATCACCACGTGGGATCAACTGAAGAAAAAGTTCTTCGACAAGTATTTTCTCACGTCTCGAGCTGCAAGTCTAAGAAAGAAGATTTATATCAAGCAGCACCCAGGGGAGTTGCTTTATGATTACTGGGAGCGATTCAAGAAGTTATGCATCAAGTGCCCCCAACACCAAATAAGTGAGCAGTTGCTCATACAATATTTTTATGAGGGGCTACTCTTCAGAGACAGGAATATCATTGATGCTGCGAGTGGAGGGACACTGGTGAACAAGACCCCTCGGGCAACGTGGGAGCTAATTGAGGGAATGGCCGAGAATTCACAACAGCTCGGTACGAGGGAGGATATCCCATTACGCAAGGTAAATAAGGTGGATACATCTTCTATCCAGTAGCAGTTCACGGAGTTAACCTCGTTTGTTAGGCAATTGGCTGTAGAAAATGCATCATAGGTCAAGGTGTGTGGGATTTGCACTGATATGGATCATTCTACAGACCTAAGCCCAATGATTCAGGAAGAAAGTGCAGAGCAAGTGAATATAGCTGGTCACGCGCCCGCGCCAAGAGGACCCTATGACATGTACTCGAATATGTATAATCCCGGTTGGAAAGATCACCCAAATTTGAGTTATGAGGGAAATAGGTAGCCCAATTTTGCACCTAATAGACTGTAGGGGCATCACCAGCAGTATCAACCTCGTTCGCCACCACCCTCTTCAAACTCAAGTCCGTCTATAGAGGAGTTGATGAAGCAATTGATTGCTAATCAACAAAAGACGGATTCTGACCTGCAAAACATGAGGAATCAATAGGGGCAGGTGCAAGCCATGCAGACTCAGATGAGTCAAATGGTGATAGCAATTAACCGTCTAGAATCCCAAGTCCAGGCAAATTGCCGTCTCAACCTGAAGTGAACTCGAAGAACGTAAGTGCGATGACTTTGAGGAGCGGGAAGGAAATTCAGGGACCAGAACTCATGATTTCAAAGGACAAGGATGAGGAAAAAATTGAGAATGAGTTGGAGAAGGAGGGCAACAATGGCACAATTCCAAAGGTACTCCCAGATCCAGTCATTACAGTTGAAACTAATCCGCTTCCCTTTTCTAGCAGGTTAGAAAAACCAAGAAAACAAGATAAGGAAAAGGAGATCTTAAAGGTGTTCCGCAAGGTAGAGATTAATATCCCCCTCTTAGACGCAATCAAACAAGTGCTGAAGTATGCCAAGTTTCTAAGGGACTTGTGTGTCAACCGAAGGCGGTTGAGGGGAGATGAAAAGGTCATTGTGGGAGAGAACGTGTCCGCGGTCCTGCAAAAGAAGCTCTCACCGAAGTATAGGGACCCAGGTATATTTACTATCCCCTGTAGAATAGGAAATATTTTGATTAGAAAGGCCATGTTGGACTTAGAGGCGTCAATTAATGTGACGCCAAAATCTATTTATGCTTCTCTGAACTTAGGTCCATTAAAAGAAACTAAGGTAATTATTCAATTAGTAGACCGAATTAATGCATATTCTGATGGGTTGGTTGAAGATGTGTTGGTCAAAATTAATGATTTGTTATTCCCAACTGACTTTTATGTACTTGACATGGATGATGATCATTCCTCTAACCCCTCACTTCTGCTATTAGGTAGACCCTTCTTGAGAACAGCACAGACCAAAATTGATGTTAATAAGGGTACCTTGTCCATGGAGTTTGATGGGGAGATTGTTCATTTCAATATTTTTGACACTATGAAATATCCCTCAAACTCTAATTTTAGCTCTATTTTCTCTGTGAGTGCTAATGACCCTATGGTGTAGGAAGTATTTGAAACTGTTGGCAGGGATGAGTTGGAGGTTGCTCTGACCAAGCACTTCGAGTTGGAGACAACGCCTGAGGTGGAATGGAGTGAGGATCTAAAATGTACAGTAGGCGAGTTACACTCGCTGCCTACCACCACGAAAATGTATGAAATTTCACCCATTTTCATCCTCGAACCTCACCAGAGGGTACTACCATCTGTGGTACAGGCACCTGTGTTAGAGTTGGAGCCCTTGCTGAAGCACTTGAAATATGCGTATTTGGCCGACAACAAAACACTCCCGGTGATTATCTCAGCTGCACTATCAGATACCTAGGAGGAGAAGTTAATCCGGGTTTTGAGAGAACATAAAGAGTCGATAGGGTGGACCATCGCCAACATTAAGGGAATCAGTCCCTTTATCTGTATGCACCAGATTAAGTTGGAAGAGAATGCCAAACCCGTACGGCAAGTTCAAAGGAGGCTCAACCCCCTCATAATGGAAGTGGTGAAGAAAGAAATATTGAAATTACTGGATGTGGGGATCATATTTAGGATATCGGATAGCCCTTGTGATGTGTGCACGAGTCTCGGCCCACGCAATGACCCCGTCCGAGTTCCATTGGGCCCAGTCACACGTGCACGGGCCAAGCTCTTCAAAGAATCACTCCAAGCCCTGGTTCGAGTCGTCCAAGACCAACATGGAGTTCACAAAGATATTGAGGGCTTAGAGAGAGACAATCAAGCCATTTGCACCATGATCCAAGCCCACGAAGACTCAAGTGGGCCTTCAAGAGGACCGGCCCTATAGGGCCTTAGCCTTAGTATTTGATAGATTGAATTAATTTGTCTTCATAGCTCATCGGGCCGGCCCATCTTGGACACCAAGATGGCCGAACTCTTTGCCATTGTTTCCTTAGGTTTTCTTAGTCATTTTAGCCTATAAATAGGCTTGCTTTGTAAGGTTTTAGGGTAGTCGTTTTATCAATAAATTAGTTTAATTCGTTCCTTCTTCTAAGAAGAGAGTTCGAGCACTTTACTTGCTTTGGCAAGGGTTTTTGAGCAATCTTGTATCTTGTCCTAAATCGTTCTACCGACCTATCCCATGGAGTAATCACCTTCATTGGAGTCGTCGTCCTACCGTCTTGAATCAAGTCGTGTTGTCCATTTGGTTCTAGATCCCGCAATTCCAAGCGTTGGACATTCTCGCTAGATTCTTGGGCAAACGTGCTACGTGTCTCGAAACAGGAACGTATCAGTTGGTTTCAGAGCTTTGGTGGAGGTATCTTCCGTTATATCCGTAGTTTTGTCTTAGTTTTCCTTATTTCCGCTGCACTTGTCTCAAAAAAAAATTTTCTAGTCATTGTTTGTTGTTGAAGTCGAGTCCAAATCTGTCCGTTTGTGCCGTATTAACAAAAAAAAAAAAATTCTGTTCGTTAGCTTTGTTGCTGTGTTGTGCCGTTTTCTTTCTTTTGTTGTCAAAAATTCTGGTCGTGTAGTTGCGTTTGGTTGCATCAATTCTGGTCGGTATTGTGTTCACCAAATCTGTTCGACACTTGTTGTTTGAGTCGTTTGTTCCTTCAATTCTGCCGCGGTTGTGTTGTCATGATTTGATGTCCAATTCTATCCAAAGTGGTCGTTATTGTTGCTAGCCTAATTTGACTAGGTTTTGTGCTTTTAATTGCATTAATTCTGCCAGCCTTGGGTCATAGCCGAATCTGCCAAAAAAAAAAAACGGCTAGGGTTTCCTCAATTTCGCGGCTAGGGTTTTTCTTTGTTGTCAAATCTGTCCAAGTAGTTATTGTTATCCAAGTTGTATGCTTAGCTGGCCTAAACTGATTTGGGATACAAAAACTTGTTGGGTTGGCGAATCTTGAAGAAAATCTACAAGGTTTCTAAGGTTCTTAAAGTTCTTGACCGCTATCTTGAAATTCTTGAAAGTCTTGGAGAAACCTTTTTAGTTTGAGGAAGTTGGGTGGTGCGTTCTTGCGTGTTGAGGGCTGACCTTATTTCTGGGATTTTTACTCATTCGGACAAGAACTTGTGTTGTCTTTAAGTAAAAAAAAAAAAAAAAAAAAAAAACAGAAACGCAAGAGAAAAGCGAAAAAAAAATAATTCGGACAACAAGAAACAAAGAAGGAAGCCGTATCATTATTGTCAAACCTGTCTTGTTACTTCTTGTTCCAACCCAAACCAGAAAATTACAGCAAGAGAAAAGAAAAGAATTCAAAAGTTTTGACCAACCTCTTCTTGGAAATCTTGATCACCTTGGATCTTGATCACTTGTGTCACCTTTTGGGTTTCTTGAGGGTCTTGATTATCTTGGGGTTTGAAGACTTGCACTTCCCTTCGTATAAAGAGTTTTTTGTAAGATCTTGCATCCATACGAGGTTTCCTTGGTTTAGGAGTGAATTTCTTGGGAGATTCTTGAGTAACAATACTTGCTTTACCTTGGGAGTCCATTGGAGCCGAATTGCTTGAGCAACAAGAACCAAACCTGTCTTGTAGGAAAGAGGGCCGAATTGCTTGGGCCAGTTGTGGCTGTGAGAGAGGGAGTTTTATAGGAAGGTTAGCCAACTTAGGGAAGGATTTGAGAAGGCAGAAATCTGGAAATTTTTGAAGGCCAATTCGGTTGAAACCCGAGCTACCAAATCCGGCTTGTGTAGTTGTGAAGTGTGCGGCTGTGAGAGGGGGATTTTAGGGCAAGACTAACCGACCTTGGGTTGGGTTTAAGAGGTGAATTTCTGGAAGTTTGCAGGTAAGAGAGAGGAGGAACCGAATCTGTTGTGGAGAAGGATTAGGAAGTTGCTTAAGAAAGATCTTCAGGGGAGTTTCCAACTCTAACTTGTTTTCCATTTTGGTTTAGGAGACTAAGCAAACAAACTTGGATAACTCTTGGACACTTCTCTATATTTTCTCCTCCATTTTAGGATATTCTCTTATATTCTCTCATCCACTTTAGGAAACCACTCCTGCATCTTAGGATTCTTGGAGTTTCCTTTCTTGACATTAATTCCAAATCTGTCCACCGTCCCCAAGCCTTCCAAAACCGTCATTTCCTTCACAAAATTTCATCCACTTGCATCCTTCACTCTTGTTTACTCTTGTGGGAAAAAGTTGGTGACAAATTGTTGGACTCGAGCAACATTTCTCAACTACCTAAACCAACAGGTAAGGTACTTGGCAAGTTTTATAGAGCGACTTGAGCACTATACACGAGAGAGAAAGATACACTCAGGGAGTAAAGTGAGGATTATATTTGCACTTTCTTTGCTTGTTACTAACCTTTGCAGGGGCATCAAGCGAGACATGGAGCAACAAGCAACCACCGATCACTCTTTGTTGTTTGCCGCAATGAAGAATGAGCTAAGGCGAATCAGTGAACAACAAATGGAGACGTTACACACTCGTTTTGACGAGTTGTCCAGGAGTCTTACACGAGGCTCTCGTTCTAGATCCCACTATCGGAGTAACCACAGCACCAAAGAGGCAAATGGCGAAGACTACTCCGCTAGTGAGGATGAGGGGCGACCCGAGAGGTCTATAAGGGACACGCCCAAGAACGAACTCAAGGGGCTTAAGATTCAAGTCCCCGCATTCAAAGGCAAAAGTGACCCTGAAGCTTACTTGGAGTGGGAAGGCCGTATCGAGATGGTCTTCGACTGCTACGACTACAGTGAGGAACAAAAGGTTAATGTTGCCACCGTGGAGTTTACCGACTACGCACTAGTCTGGTGGGACCAAGTAAGGACCAATAGGAGGAAGATGGGAGAGCCACGTGTCCGGACTTGGCGCGAACTCAAGGTACTGCTGCGCAAGCGATTTGTTCCTAACTATTACAATCGCGATCTCCACTCTAAGCTTCAAACTCTCACGCAAGGCAACATGAGTGTGGAGGACTACTACAAAGAAATTGAGATGGCCATGATGAGGGCCAACATTCAAGAAGACAAGGAGGCCACGATGGCTCGGTTTCTTAGAGGTCTCAATCCTGACCTTCAAGAAGCCTTGGAGCTCCAACATTACTTGGACAAGCACGACCTTCTAGAACTCGCTATTAAGGCCGAGCGGGGGAAGAAACTAAGATGCGGAGTACGTACGTTCCAAACTTCTAACACCACTTCATGGAGGGGCAACCAACCACGAAGGGCGACCCACGAAGTTGGAAATGCGGCAGCACCAACCTCTTCTAACCGAATCCAAGGTAACACCTCTAACCGCCATTCCTATTCTACCCCTAACAAGATTTCCGATGCATCCAGGTCCATTTCAAAGGCAGCGCATGAGACTCCTAAGACTAGGAGTAGGGACATCAAGTGCTTCAAGTGCCAAGGGTTTGGACATATTCAATCTCAGTGCCCAAACCAACGGGTCATGCTCATCACTCACAATGGCGAAATCGTGTCTGATGATGACGAATGTGAGGAGATGCCCGAACTGGTCGAAGACGACTGCCTGGAAGAAGAGTCAGCTAGGGAGGCTTGCTCGCCTACACGAGGAGAAGTAGGTTTCTTGGTGGCACGGCGAGTGCTAACCGCCCGCGTTAAGGAGGACGAACAGCTACAACGCGAAAACCTTTTCTACACCCGCTGTAAGATAGGCGACAAGGTGTGTAGTCTCATCATCGACGGTGGGAGTTGCACGAACGTGGCCAGTTTGCTCATGGTTGAGAGTCTAGGACTCCCCACTACCAGGCATCCAAATCCTTACCGTCTCCAATGGCTAAGTGAGGATGGTGAGGTACGAGTCTTCAAACAGGTACGCATTCCCTTTTCAATTGGTACTTACACTGATGAAATCGTGTGCGACGTAGTACCAATGCATGCTACGCATATCATTTTGGGAAGGCCCTGGCAATTTGACAAACACGTCACATTCGATGGAAGAGCAAATAAGTACACACTTTTGCATGATGGCAAACGTAAGGTCCTTACACCTCTCACACCTGCACAAGTTTATGAGGACCAACTACTATTGCAAAGGGAGTGTGAACAAGACCGTCAAAGGAGGAAACTAAAGGCGGTCGACCCTGGTAAAGGCTCCACGTCTACGAGTGAGCCATCAACCAAGGGTCAAGGGAGCACACCTAGGGGTATACATGACAAATCACCTACCGCACCTACCACTAGGAAGCACAACATGATTATTAAGGCTAAAGATGTTAGAAAAGTGGTGAACTCTAATCAGCCTATACTTCTCATGATTTGCAAGCATGTGCTCTTGGATGTTGCTGAGCTCGACAAGGCGTTGCCTGCGAGCATAGTTGCTCTTTTGCAAGAATTTGAGGATGTTTTCCCTGACGAGGTCCCTAATGGCTTACCACCCATTCGGGGAATT